TATATATATATATATATATATTTTTTTTTTTTTTGGTAAGAAATCTTAAGTTCCATCACATTCTGCCATCGGGAGGTACTTAATACCTGGTTATCTGGTTATCAGCAATTTATAGCCTTTGCCTAGATAGATTAATACATTACGAGTTTAGGAACAGCTTTATAAACTTCAATAGTTTCTTCAATTATTAACAGAATATTTTTCGAAGGTAGAACATTTCACCATTAAGGAACAGGGGAGCACAGTATCTCTCCGAGGTGCTGATTTCATTTCCTTGGATATATACCCAGCCGAGGAATTGCTGAGTCATATGGTAGTACTGATTTTAGTTTTTTGAGGAAACTCCGTAACATTTTTCATAATATTGTACCAATTTACATTTCTGCTAATGGTGTGCAAGAGTTTCCAGTGTTCTGCAGTCTCACCAGCACTTGTTAGGTTTTGTCTTTTTGGTAGTAGCCATCCTAACAGGTGTGTGGTCATATCTCATTGTGGTTTTGATTTGCATTTCCATGGTGATTAATGACGTTGAGCACCTTTTTGTATACCTGTTGACCCTCTTTGGAAAAATGTCTATTCAGGTCCCTTGCCCATTTTTAACTGAGGTATTTGTTTTATTAACTATTGAGTCATGTGTGTTCCTCATATATTTTGGATTTTTTTTAATTGTTTCCTTTGCTGTGCAGAAGCTTTTTGCTTTGATGTATTCCCACTTGTTTATCTTATTTTTTTAAACTTAAAACAAGATGCACATGTAACATATACCCATTGTAAAAAAAATTTATGAAATATAGCTTAAAAAGAAAAATAATCATAACCCTTTCACTCAGAGGTATCTTTACATTTTGGAATATTTTATATGTATTTATGTTGTACATATTCCTTTGTTAAGAACTGTTATATTTAACAAAATACACTGGAGATATTTTCACGTCAGTAAATATATTTCTACAGTATCCTTATTTGAACCTTCATTTAAAAAATCTACCAGATGATATTGGTATCTGAGCTATCCCTAACAGGTTGCTGTTACTGAATGTAGCCAGGGATTTTGTTTGTTTGTTTTATTTTTTAATTTATTTTTTAAATCATTTATTTGTTGTTGCTACATTTATCATTACACAATGTAATAATTTTTTGTGGCCCTTTACCAATTTCTCTCTAGCCCCCGTCCCTCCCCCTTTCCTACCTCTGGTGACCTCAGTTCCATTCTCTCCTTTTGAAAGTTCATTGAATTATTGTGATTGTTGTATCTTTCTTTCCTTTTTTGTTTGTTTATTTTTTCAGCTCCCACTTATGACTGAGGATATGTGGTATTTCTCTTTCTGTGCCTGGCTTATTTCACTTAACATAATATTCTCCAAGTTCATCTATGTTGCTGTGAATGGCAGAATTTCATTCCATTTTATGGCAGAGTAGTATTCCATTGTGTATATATACCATGTTTACCTTATCCAGTTAACTGTTGATTGACATTTAGATTGGTTCTGACTTCTGGCTGTTATAAACAGAGCTGCAATAAACATGGGCGTGCAGGTATCCCTTCGACATGATGGTTTTCATTCCTTTGGGTATATATCCAGCAGTGTGATTGCTGGATCGTATGGCAGTTCTATCCCTAGTTGTCTGCAGAAGCTTCATACTGTTTTCCGTAATTGCTGCACTAATTTCCAGTCTCACCAACAGTGTAGGAGGGTTCTCCTTTCTCCACATTCTTGCTAGCATTTGTTATTATTCTCTGTCTTTTTGATAATGGCCAGTTGAACTGGCATAAAGTGATATCTCAGTGTTGTTTTGATTTGCATTTCCCTGATGCTTAGTGATGTTGAGCATTTTTTCATGTGTCTGTTGGCCATTTGTGTATCTTCCTTTGAGAAATGCCCATTCAGCTCCTCTGCCCAATTTTTTAATTGGGTTACTTATTTTTTTACTGTTAAATTGTTGGGGTTTCTTATTTATTCTGGGTATTGATCCCTTGTTGGGTACATAGTTAGCGAATATTTTCTTCCATTCTGTAAGTTTTCTTTTCACTGTGTTAACTGTTTCTTTTGCTGTGCAGAAGCTTTTTATATTTATATAATCCATTTGTTTATTTGTTCTTTTGATGCCTATGCTTTTAGGGTCTTACTCATAAAGTCTTTACCCAGTTCTACTTCCTGAAGTGTTTCTCCTGTGTTTTCTTTTAGTAGTTTTATAGTTTCAGAACTTATACATAGGTCTTTAATTCATTTTGAGTCTTTAGGTTTTTCTGTACATAAGATCATGTCATCTGCAGAAAGGGATAGTTTGACTTCATCTTTTCCAGTTTGGATGCCCTTTATTTCTTTCTCTTGCCTGATTGCTCTGGCTACTATTACATACTGTATTAAATAGGACTGGTAAGAGTGAGCATCCTTGTCTTGTTCCTGTTCATCTGGGGTGATATTGGCATTGGATTTGTTGTATATGGCTTTTATTGTATTGAGATACTTTCCTTCTGTACTTAATTTGCTGAGAGTCTTTATCATAAAGGGATATTGAATTTTGTCAAATGCTTTTTCTGCATCTGTTGAGATAATCATGTGGTT